TGTTTTGGTCCTTTTGTGCTCCACCATGGAACTAGTATAATTTATCAGTTTACCTTGTCAATTTCCTTTTCACGCTTCATCTGGCTCAGAGCCATTTTAGCTTCTCTAGGTGTGGATCTCTTGGTATTTGCCTGTAGGATTGACAGGTTGAAGTTGGGTCTTTTGTGGTCTGTATTAATGGATCTGTTCTTAGAAACTAAGTTGCTTGCTAAGAAAATTACCCTCTTCACTTCTGTTTTTAGTAGGGAGGCCTTGGCATTTGTCCAACAGTTAATGAGAAATCGTGGTACAATTATGTTTTATTTTTCTCCTCAGTTCTTTCTGTGGTTGACATAATGCTGAAAATTAAAGAACCTTGAGTGAAAAATGCATCAATAAAATAAAAGCATATTGCAATTATATTCTGACCTTGATTTTTCCTCTATATATATTTTTCACAGGATTAATTAAATTCTAAGATGTACCTATTCCTCTCAATGTTTGCTACTAGATGTTTGCTAGTAGAGTAATTGCATGCTACTTTGCCCTCAGATAAAGTGATGCTTTCATAACTTCTAAAGAAGACAGAATTGTCTGAGGTTTTTATCTTTTAAATTAAATTTTTTATTCATACTAATAAAAATCCTGTTGCACTCCAAATCTCAGGATAAATTGGTGTGTTGTCTGTAGAAACTAGCTCTTCTGTCTAACTGAATAACTGATAAATACACTTTATATGTAATTAATCTGTTGAAAGGCAAGCTACAGAGTAGTCATAGCATGGTGATTGAGTAACCTTTTAGATTAGTACTCCTGCTGGGATTATAACATTTTTTTTAAGTATATGGATAATTTAAGTATGTTAAAGTGATGATAGTTCCATTATAGTAGTATTGTTTATCCTGCAAAAACATCATTATTTGTTTAAAATTAGAAAGAGGATATAAATTAAAAGATAAAGATCAATAAATACTTTAGTAATTTAAATTAGTGCCTAATGATAAGAAATTTGAATTGAAAATAAACGTAGCGATCTCATTGTGGTCATAAAAATGTTGGCATTTATTCAAATGTCTCCTTATAATGGAGACAGTACAAAATTTATACCATCTAGTCCTAACTTAGAAGGATCAAATATAAGATTGTGACATCATTAAAAATTTTGTTCCCTTAAGTATTTGCCCTTTGGTATTTGATTTGTGTTAATAGAAGAAACATCTTTTTTAGTTGATTGCCCTGGGAAATTGTGGTTACTAAAAATTCCTACTGGTATCATATGTTTACTCATTGGCTTGAATTACTCAATTTTTTTGAACTATTTTTTCCTAATTTAAAAGTATTTGTGCATTTACAAAATTTTTGAGCATCTAAACAGTAGAAAATTAAAATTTATTAGTAATCGCATGATAAACAGATAACCTCTGTTAATATTTGCATATATTCATTTTTCTAGTTTTACTTATATATTCCTGTGTATATCATACCATGTATAGCATTTTGTAAACTTTTTTTTACATGAAATAAATAATGGAATTAATTTAATGCCATTAAGTATTATTCTTTTATACCAAGTCTCCAAATGTAATCTCTGAAACTCCTGAGTAGTACATAGGATTATATGTTTTTGTGGATATATGCATTTTTCCTGGAAAAAAGATCTACTTGTTATCTAGTTCTCAGAAGTGTTTATGATAGTTAAGAACAAACTTTAGTCTGGCTGGCATGTCTCAGTGGTTGAGCATTGACCTATGAACTAGGAGGTCAGGACACATGCCTAGGTTGCAGACTTGATCTCCAGTAGGGAGGGGGTGCATAGGAGGCAGCTGATCAATGATTCTCACCATTGATGTTTCTATCTTTCTCTCACTTCCTCTCTGAAATCAATAAAAATATATTTTAAAAAAGAACAAACTTCATTTTAAATGACTACATAATAATGTTTTATAATTCATTATATATTTTCTTGCTTGTGCCCTGACCAAAAATATTTTATCCCAGTAATGCAAGGATAATATTTTATTCAGAATTTCATCTATATTCGCAAATGAAACTGATCTATAGTTCCATTTTGGGTATTTTATCAGATTTTGCTAGTGTTATATTGGATTCATAAACTGTAGCATTCTGTACATTTTTCTGTGATTTAGAATACTTAAAATAACATAAGAATGATAACTTAAAAAGTAGACTCTAATTTGTTTTAATTATATTTCAGTTTTAAAAGTTTGGGTTTTAAATGCCTTAGCGATAATATCTAAACATATTGCTCTTTTTAGAGTCTTCCTTCTCCTTTTTCTTGGGTTAACTTTGGTTATTTAAATTTTGCAAGGAAACCATTAATTTTTTATTGCTATGAAAACAATAAAAATATTTTAAAAATTATTTAAATCCACTTAGTACCTGTGGGCACACCTTCCTCGTCAGGTTTGTATGTTTACCAGTTTGTGATTTGGAATTTATTAAGTATCACCAAAAAGACACTTTGGGTATGTTATGACTTAAATAGATTTATAGTCCGTTTTGGGACTCAAACCGCCATGTATAGCATAGCCAGTATTGAGCCTCAAACTATCCAGCTTCCAAATGAAACAACTGTCAGGTACTGAAGTTGTGGTCCAAATGCCATTTCTTCTTAAAAGGAACTAGAGCCCTTTGAGAAATTGACTGAATCTAGGTCTGGTGTAGAAACAAATAAGATAAGCCAAGAGTACCTTCTAAACCAGAAGCAAGGAAGACAACTCAGGTGAAGTCTGAAGAACTCAGGAATCAGCTTGAAGATGCTCCCATCATCCCAATCAGGATAATAACTAATGGGTTGAAGCTCCAGATATATGTGAATTCATGTTCATGATGATAAAACAAAAAGCTAATTGGTCATCACTGGAGGATGGTAAATAAAAACATTATCAAATATCCCCTGTTGATTACTTGATATAGTCAAATTTTCCCCCTTTTAATTTATTAATATAATTAGTTATAATGATGATTTCTGATGAGTCATCCCTAGCTCAGAGAAAAGGATGGTATATTAAGTAAAAGTTGCTGACCTGGCCATTAAAGATAAAATTCTGTCTAGAAGGAAACAGATCCCTTTATCACATTTTATCTAAGATAAAGTTTGAAGGAAAAAAAGATCTAAATAATAAAAACACAATTGGAATACTAAAAGAAAATTCCGTAATCTGGGAATGGGAAGATCTTTGGAAGACAGGAAACTCAGAAGCTATAAAGGAAAATATTTACCTACAAAACACAAAGTAGAACAAAACATAAACAATTGCAAATAATTAACTTGGAAAAATTAAAAATTAAATTAATTAACTTGGAAAAAAAATTAAATGTAATACTTAATGATTCACCATCCTATATAATAAAAGGCTAATATGCAAATCAACCGAATGGTGGAACAACTGGTCACTATGATGTGCACTGACCACCAGGGGGGAGACACTCAACCCAGGAGCTGCCTCCTGGTGATCAGTGCGATCTCAAAGTGGGAGTGCCACTCAGCCAGAAACCCTAAGCTGGGCTCATGGCTGGTGAGCGCAGTGGTGGCAGTGCTAAGCCATTAGTCGGACATCCCCCAGACTGTGAGATGGGAGCCCTTGCCGTGCAGGAATGTCATGCACAGGGCATCTAGTACCTAATGTAACAGTGTTGCTAAGAAAAGGACAGTAGACAGGTCAAGGATCTAAAAAGAATTCACAAGAGAAGAAAAGCAAATGGCAGTCAGCATTGAGAAAATATTCCCAACTCCTTTTGTTATCAGTAAAATTGCAGTATAAGCAACCATGATTTTGCTTAACTGATTGGCAAAATCTAAATGAGTAAGGATGCAGAATATCGAGTATCCTGCTGGTAGAAATATTAATAGACACAGCTATTTAGAAAGGAAATTGGCATCTATAAAAAAATAAACATTTGACTCACCAGTTCTGCTATTAGAAATTGAGTTTAACCCTGACCGGTTTGGCTCAGTGGATAGAGCATCGGCCTGTGGACTCAAGGGCCCCAGGTTCGATTCTGATCAAGGGCACATAACAAGTAGGGCGTGTGCAGGAGGCAGCTGATCAATGTTTTTCTCTCATTGATGTTTCTAACTCTATCCTTCTGCCTTCCTCTCTGTAACAAATCTATAAAATATTTAAAAAAAAAAAAAGAAATTGAGTTTATAGAAATAAAAACACAAGTCTACTAGGATATATGACTAAAAAATGAGACTGGCCTCATTGGAATAGCAAATGAACTGGAAACGATAGCAATTTAGTTTTCTCCTTCCCATTCCTTGGTTTTTTTTTTTGTTTTTTTTTTTTTATGATGTCAACTATCAGGCTGGTTTGTGGGGGAAGCAAATGTGAGAAGGGTAGTAGACTGGACAAGCTTTTCAGCATGCGTGGTTCTTGGGCAGAGCTACAGGGGAAAGTCACTTCCTGTTGCACCATTAGGTACACTGGTGCTCCCCATGTCATGGTCGGCCTGTAGCCGACAGTCTGAGCAGAGTATGTTAGCCTAGACTCCAATGCTCTGCAAGAGAGAGCCACAGAGGGCTGGCTCATTGGTAGAAGGAGACACAGCTGAGTAGATGAAAGTAACAGACGGGAAAACCATGAAGCAGGCATGAATTGAATATTCAAACATCTCTAGTAGTCAGTATGTTTTTACTAAGGTCCGAAGCAGATTCAGTAGTCCTCATATTTACTAGTAGATTTTCCATGTTGCACAGTAGAGGCTGTAATTGATATTCATAATGAAAATCATGAGTCTTCAAGAAAGAGCTTAACTAGTTTTCGTTATACTTTGGTTTTAAAAGTCTAGGAAATATGTGATTACATTTGGGGAGATCTGTATATGTGATTACATTTAAAAAAATGCTTTTTAAAACAAATTTTAGTATATAAGTGGTAAGTTTCCCTGAATCTGGACAACTTTGCTTTCTAGAATAACATTCTTTGATATTGTTGTTAGATAATATTTTGCCATGCATATTGCTTTTTAATGTTTCAATGCCTCTTTGTTTTCAGTTTTTTGTAGCATCAGATCCTACAGTAAAAACAGATCGACTGTGGCATGACAAGTATACTTTAAGGAAGTCGATGATTCCTTCATTTATTACGATGGATCAATCTAGGAAGGTAGGATTAGAAGAGATTTTTGGGATTTTGATATTTCTACCTGGATCATGAGACAAAATTAATCTTCAGTTAAAATTTTGTTGCATTTTAGGATTAGCATTCTTTAAAAAATCTTTTTTATCTTTATTGTTGAAAACATTACAGATGTACCCTCCCTTTTTCCCCCCTCATAGATCTTTTCCACCCGGAACCCCACTCCCCCCATGAATTCATCACTCTATTACATGGGTCCATAGATTATGCATATATGCATATAAGTTCTCTGGTTAATCTCCCCACTCACTCACCCCAGCCTCTCCTCTGAGATTCATTAGCCTGTCCCATGTTTCTCTGTCTCTGGATCTATTTTGTTCATCAGTTTATTTTCATTAGATTAGCATTAGCATTCTTGAAAGTATATATTAATTGGATACATCAACATAATATGTGTTTGTTAATGTCTTTTCAGTTTCTAGAATTCATTTCATACCATCCTACATGTTCTTGTTACTTAATTTTTAATCAGTAAATTGTTTTTTATGAATATTTGTTATAGTTGGATTTTAATTTTATATAAAGGTGACTCTAGGATATTTTCCTTTTTTAGGTTCTTTTGATAGGAAAATCAATAAATTTCCTGCACCAGGTTTGTCATGACCAGACACCCACTACAAAGATGATAGCTGTGACCAAGTCTGCAGAATCACCCCAAGATGGTAGGATGATGGTGGTGGGATTGTGATGATGGCGGTGGTGATGTTGATGATAACGATAAAATATATTGCTTGAAGTATTTTTTGTTTCACAGGACTAACACATTTTCCAAATTATTATCTAAAAATACCTTAATACACATATATTGTATATAAAATGTTTATTAGTATTTAAATGTTGCTCCCCTTTTTATACATTTAAACTATAAGTGGTGGAATAGGTATAAACTGTTTTATTCTATTTTTTAATCCTCACCAGAGGGCATGCTTAGAGAGGGGAAGATAGAGAGGGAAGAAAAGAGGGAAGGAGGGATGGAAAGATGGGAGGGGGGGAAGAGAGAGAGAGAGGGAGGGAGGGAAGGAAGGGAAAAAAACCACTGATTTGAGAAAGAAATATTGAGAAACACTTATCAGTTGCCTTTAACCGGGGATTGGTCCTGCAACCCCGAAATGTGCCATGATCCACAGTTGAACCGGCACCCTTTTGGTGCACAGGACATTCATTCAACTGAGCCACTCTTCCAGGCATGCATTACTTTTTTTATGTAGTGACTGTATGTCAAATCACATAAAGGAAAAAATGCTAGCCACACTTTGAAACTCAGAGGCTTGCCCAGAAATCAGAAAGGATTTACAAGTGTTTATTGTATTGAAAATGTTACATATCTTTCTGCCTACATTAAATGACTTATGGTTATTCCTCATTCACTGCTGTTTTCTATTTTTTCCATTTGCTGCCTGCTTCAGCCTCAACAATTTCATGATATTTTGTGTACTATTTAGATTGTCATCTTGGTTCATTCAAGTTTACTTTTCATATGACATTGTGGTAGCTGTAGGGGAAATAATATGAATTCTCCAAGGCTGTGCCTCTTATTAGCTTATAGTCTAAATGTGTAATAGAGGCTGCTTGAACCTGAGTCTTGTTTTCTTGCCTTCCTCCCTAACAACATGAGCTTCAGCTCCTGTTCCAGCTTCTCTACAAACTGCTGGACCCTGGGCTCTGTGCAGTTGCTCAGCCACTGGGCCCAGCCAGTCAGCAGAGGGGTCAGCATCTATGCAGGTGCTGGGGACTTGAGCTTCCAGATCTCTGTGTCTCATTCCACCAGTGTGTGGGGCAATTGGGAGTCGTAGGGCCTGGCTGTGGGCATAGCTGGGGGTCTGGCAGGCATCAGGGGCATCCAGAGCAAGGAGGAGGTTATGAATGACCACCTGGCCTCCTACCTGGAGAAGGTGAGAGGCCTGGAGCTGATAGTCAGAGACTGCAGAGCAACATCCAGGAACACCTTGAGGACGAGGGACCCAGGTCAGAGACTGGAGCATTATTTCAAGACCATGGGAGACCTGAGGGCTCAGATCTTTGCACATTCTGAGGACAAGGCTTGCATCTGGGTGACACCCTAGACAACAGCAACTCTATACCCTCAACCCAAAAGACCATCACCTACAGGATTGTGGATGGCAAAATGGTGTCTGAGGTCAATGACCCCAAAGTTTTGAGGCACTAAAGGCAGAAGTGGAGTACTCCTTGGGGGGGAAGCATAAGATGTGCCTGAATCATTCTATATAATAAAAGCCTATTAAAGTGTCTGGTTGTCCATTAGCTTATAGTCCATTCGACCAATCAAAGTATAATATGCTAAGGCCACTCAACCCCCTTAAACTCCCCCCCTTTGATATCCCCCCCCTCCCCGGCTTTCACCATCCTATTATCTGTGTCCATGGCTTATGCATATATGCTTACAAGGTCTTTGGTTGATTGCCTCCCACCCACTCACCCTCCCCCGCCTTCCCTCCGAGGTTTTACATTCTGTTCCATGCTTCCTAATATAGGTTCTTCTTAACGGGTCTATTATTTTGAAAAACAAATAAAAACAGTTCTAAAGTCTTCTGATATTTCAAATTGATAACAGGTAGTGGGAAAAGACTTAACCTAGACTCTGCAGACTTTGCCTATTTTTGTTTAACTTTGAGAAGTAGTGCTCTACCTTTTTTTAATCTTATATTGTTTCTTGACATTGGGATTATTTGCTAGCTCAAGTGTTATTATGGTTTTTATATAAAAGTGAGTATTTAGATATAAGTGGTTTTATGATGTAAATTAGCATTAAAAAGCATTGTTAATCTTTACCTGTGATTTCTTTTTAATTTAAAAATTGTGGAAATGATGGCTGTTTTGTTTGTTTTGCTGTTGTTTTTTTATATTACTGCTTACAGTTAGGCTTCTTTGTTGGTGACAGTCTCCTCTTATTACATGTCCCTGGAAAATCTTCAGATCTTTCCTTAGAGTTTACTCTCTGATACTCTGATATGGCTGCATGACAACAGCACCTAACCTTTATATGATTTTCACGACCCATAAAGCTCATTACATGTGCCATTTTTTTTATTCTTCAAACTAGTTTTGAAATGTCTTATAGGCATGTGTAGGTAATTCAACTTTGACCTGCCCTATTCTCTTTGCACTTTTCAACAAAGTGAGATTTTTGAGTTAGTTACATTGTAGAAAGTAATTTGAAATTAAAAAAAAAAGAATCTGTGAAGTGATGAATTGTGCTGTTAAGGGTCCTTCCGTAGGTCACAGTGCAGATGTCTGTTGTAAATCCAGCCAGACATCAGTATTTTCAGTTTCTTGAGCTCGGGACTCTAGTTTTTCTCCCTGACCATACACATGACCTGTTAGTGCTGCCACCAGTGCCATTTATAGGCATTGGCAATGAGTTTTGTATGTGTGTGTGCCTTCAGATTTTCCTTTGTTAAAATACAAATTATGTATGTATGTGTACTTTTTTCCTTTTGTTCTTTACAGCTGCAGACTTATTCACAGATTTGGAAAATGCATTTCAGGGGAAAATCGACGCGGCTTATTTTGAGACCAGTAAATACCTATTGGATGTTCTCAATAGAAAGTATAGCTTGCTGGATCACATGCAGGCCATGAGGCGGTACTTACTTCTCGGTCAAGGAGACTTCATAAGGCACTTAATGGACTTGCTCAAGTATGAAAACTATTTTGATTTTCATAAATATACAGTAGATCTTGACATGATAAGAGTCTTACAATTTTTGTTTAAAGAATAAATGATATTAGAGGGAAATTTGTTGAATTTCTATACAACATATGGTAAGATAAAATCGGGAAAAAGGAAATTGTGACATTGTTGTGTTAAAGTATCTTTATTTTTGTTTGTTCTGTGCTTTGTTCTCTGGAGAAGCCTGTGCACTTCACAAACACTGTGGCCCTGGCAGTCTAGTGTACGAGGAGCACACACCATAGTCACAATTTGCTTAGCTTAACTTTGAAAGTAATTGTAAAAAGAAAATGCATTTTAAGACTGAACTTTTTAGTTAATTAAAATTGTTTCTTGTTCTAAAATAACTCAGAAAAACAACTATTACTACTACTTTTGTTTTGTTACATTAATTAAATGTGCCCTTCCCCTCTGTTCATCGAGACGCAGACAGCTCTGTACCAGAGCCCATCATGCTCCTGGTTCTAAGTAGACAATTAGACCCTCTGGATGCAAGCCGGGGCTCCCAGGCAGCACTGGCGAGAGTGAGCATATGCGTGTGGGCCACAGTATGGGACTAGTGATTTTCCCAGGCATATAAGAATGGAAATTATTATTTTTTTGGTGTTCCCTTTAGGACACTTAAAAAAGTATGTTACTTTTCAATCATATCTGTGCTAATTAAGCAATTGTTTTGGAGTCCCTTAAGGGGCTCGTTGGAATGGATCGCTGGACCAACTTAAGAGTCTGGTTCTGTAGATCTGGGGAAGAGCCCAAGAATGTGCATTTCTAACAAGAGCCCAGCTGAGGGTGATGCTGCTATGTGAGAACTGTTATTTCAGTCCCATAAGCTCCTGTGGCCCCACCTCTTATTAGAAATCAGTCTAGTTAGGAAAAATAATCTAGATTTGGGGGCATGTATGACAATAACTGACCTCATAATCATGGGTAATGTTGTATGATTGATTAGCTCATGAAGGAGTTGATTATTACCTGCTAAACATAAACTCTGTGATTACACTTGCTCAAATAGCACATCTGCACTATAAGTAGAGAAGGGGTTGCTAGTTAGTTCAATACTGGTCACGAGGCCACTGCCTGTTGGAAGGGTGAGGGTGATGCATTTTTTAAGGGGAAATGTTCTTTAAATGCCAGAAGGCTAAAATGGGATTATGTGTGAAGATGTGGGATGAGCAGACACATAGGTGTAGATGTTCAGGTTGACAAAGAGGTAAAGATTAGCAAGGGGTTTCTTACATTTTAAAGTTAAAGCAACAGAGGATGGCAATAATACAGATCAGATCATTTAGCTGACTAACATATTAAAACTATAATATAATAAAATTAATATTTAGAATGGGCGGGGAACATCTGGCCTGAGATATGTATAAGGCCTGTAAAATCATTTGGTCTAGCCCTGCCAAGGCATTAGGGAAGAGTTAATTAAATGCTTGACCAAATATAGCAGGCTAATTTTTAAGTTGATAATTTTGTGTGGCCCACGAATGATGTTAAGAATATCCAAATGGCCCTTGGCAGAAAAAAGGTTCCCCACCCTTGATTTAGAGCATCTCATTTTTGGTATTAAATAAAAGAATTATTTCTTCTCAACGGCATGTTTTAAGTCTAGTTTTAAAGGGGAATGCCATCAGTGTCCCACTTGCCTCAGATTTATTTGAGTGAAGCTAAGGCCCCTTTTCACCTGTCCTGCCTGATCTTTTAGTTTTGTGAAGGCCTGCAGTGGAGAGGGTTTATATGCACACGTGGGGATGATTGGCTGCGCTCTTAACTTGGTCAGCTCTTGGTCACAGTTTCATATTTGGAAACTGAGATATTAGTATCCCTTCAGGAATGTTTGCTGATAATGCAGTAGTTGTTAGCCTTTAGAATCATGACACTCACCTCTATCTGATGGTCTTGATTTAATGAAGACCCTTTTTTTCATTGGATCCATGTAGGAAATTACACTAGTTCATGCCACTATTGGCCAGCCTCTAGTTAGAAAACGTTATTTGTTAACATGGAGGACACTTTTAAATATTTTTCATTTAAGCTGAACAAAGATTAATTTTTTTTTAAATTTTAAGAAAATTCTTTATTTCCCCAAACACTTGGTGAAATCCTATTTACAATTAATTCTGGGAAGGTTTTGTTACCATGTCATATTGGTTCCTTTTGTCTTTAGTTTTTTCAACTTGAACTCCTTTTATAATTTTAAGTTTCTACACAGTTCATTAAGAATTCAAGTAACATTTTCTTTTTCTTTTTTAAAAATCTGTTAAGACCAGAACTTGTCCGTCCAGCTACGACTTTGTATCAACACAATTTGACTGGAATTCTTGAAACTGCTGTCAGAGCCACCAACGCCCAGTTTGACAGTCCTGAGATCCTCAAAAGACTGGACGTGAGGCTGCTGGAGGTACTGTCGCTCCAGGTTCTGTACAATCTGCACAAAGCAGTGAGCTCTCCCCGACCAGCACCTTTCCCCTGAAGTTTTTCATGTTGGCTAGTCTAGTGGAGAAGAGCCATGACTGAAAGACTGGGCTACCTGAGTTTGAATCCTTGCTATGTCGTCTGTTATGGCATCATTTTAGACAAGTCACTGCCTGTCTACACCACACTAGGTTTCAGTTCTCACCTTACAAAGGGCTCTTGGGCAGAGAACATGCAACACTTGGTGGCCATCACGGATGCCTAGTAAATTGAGGTGCTGTTAATGGTAATGTTGATAGGAGGCACAGAGATAAGGTAGAATGATAATAATATTTATCAAAAATAGATGTTTTTAGCCCAGCCGGCATGGCTCAGTGGTTGAGCATCAACCTATGAACCAGGAGGTCATGGTTCAATTATTGGTCAGGGCACATGCTCAGGTTGCGGGCTCAATACCAGTCCAGGACGTGCAGGAGGCAGCCGATCAATGATTCCCATCATGGATGCTTCTATCTTTCTCCTTCTCTCTTCCTCTCTGAAATCATTAAAAATATACTTTAAAAAAGAGAGATGTTTTTAGTTTTAGTTTGATAGAAGATAACATTTCTTAGGGAAGTGAGTATCATAAACATCAGATACTGCTTGCTTAGCTATGATAAAGGACCGTTAGCAGGACCTGTTGGGTTTTTAAAAATATATTGATTTTTAGGGATTTGGAACATATAAGGCAGTAGGTTTTTTCATAAAGGAATGGTGATGAATTTTAAATACTTTTATAATCATTTAAAAATATTCTATCCATTCCAAAAATATTTATAGAGCACCTACTGTGCACCTGTCATTGTCTAAACGCTGAGGACCCAGGAGGTGACAAAGAAATGCAGTTCCCTGCTCTCATGTAGCTAACACTCAAAACTGTTGAGCAGTTTTTAAAAATTGGGTTTTATTTTATTGCCTCTACTTTGAGGATTTGACTAGTTCTTTGGCATTAAATTTAACATTGGTGATGGTAAGTCCTGGTGATGGTAAGTTGTTTGTTTTTGCTCTTAGGTGTCTCCAGGTGACACTGGGTGGGATGTCTTCAGCCTGGACTACCACGTTGATGGACCGATTGCAACTGTAAGATCATTCTGAATATTTTTATAATAGTCACAGCTATTTAGATTGCTAAGCATTTTGCTGTTTTAGAATTGGCTTGTTTCTGTAAGAACTTCTAACTAAACTGATCACTTGACATCTACAATCTACTCAAGAGATTGAATATGTAAGCCCAAATTGTGTGTTTTAAATAATCATTAATGAGTGCTGAAATGGTGTGTTATTTTAAGAATTCTTAAAAATATCTGTTGTTCTATCACGGGTTTCAGTAAGTATTTAATAAATGGATATTCTTTTTGTTCCATTATTCTTAGACTTTAGTAACTAATTTAGAATAACTTGAAAGGAACTATAAAATGCATTTTAGGGAAATTGTATTTTTACTTAGATAAAATTTTATATTTGGCATTCATTTCAACTGATGAGGAAATAGCAGCACTATTGTTCATAGTGCTTTTACCATGCTTAAAGGAAAGTACTATTTCTTTTAACAGTTACCAGGTCATGAAAGATTGACCAGCAGAGTTGCCTTTTTTGGGCCTGAAATTTAAATACCCTTTCTTAAGTGCTCATTCTTTTTTTAAATATATTTTATTGATTTTTCACAGAGAGGAAGGGAGAGGGATAGAGAGTTAGAAACATCGATGAGAGAGACATCGATCAGCTGCCTCTTGCACACCTGCTACCGGGGATGTGCCTGCAACCAAGGCACATACCCTTGACCGGAATCGAACTTGGGACCTTTCAGTCCGCAGGCTGACGCTCTATCCACTGAGCCAAACCGGTCTCGGCTTAAGTGCTCATTCTTTCTTTATTCACATTGGCATGGAATCTCCTTGGCCAAGATACCTCTTTGAACTTACTTCAGCCATTTTTATGTCTGAAATATTGAGAAAGGACATTCATTTTTTTTTTTTTTTTAAATTATTGGGGAAAGTATTCTGTTTAGAAGTAATATATTTTGGGTCTAAATTTCTCCTTAGTGGTTCTAGCAGAGTTCTGAGTCCATGGCTGTTCTGCCTCTCAAGGGATAAGCCACACATGCTGCTAAAATGCTTTCATCAAAGCCATCCCTTCTCTCTTTTTACTTCCAAGTTAACAGATTTGCCACTGGCAAATGGCTCTGTCCTGTCTACTGTGAATGGTAGCTACTGGTGCAGTTTTTTCTTTTTTACAAATAAGTTACTAATGTTTAAACTTTACTAGATCAAATCTACCAGATTTTAAATGTGTAACTGCTCACAAATTTAATTTTTGGTCATATTCAAATTAGATTTTATGTATTTTTTTGTTATCAACCTCATACAACAATTTTTCTAGTTTATCAACACATACATTTTTAAAAATGATACCTTTACCTAGCAAATGCTAATTTGGTCATTTTGAATATCAATCTTCATATTTTAAGAATTCAAACTTGTATTAGCAGAGTAAACAATAAGCTAAGTTACTAAAATATTTAAAAGATAAATACCTTGATCATAAATCTCAAACTCCATATTTTAAACACACTTATTTTTTTAGAGAGGCATGGAGCAGGTCAAGGATAGGAATAAAATGTTTTCACCTTTGACTTATATCCTAAACAGTTTTAAATAATTTTAATATCCAAAACAGGATATTTTAACATTATTTAAATTAGAAATTTTCATATTATCTAATTTGATAATGTTATATACATTACATATTTTTTCATAGTATAAAAGATACCATAGTAAAAATAGTTGTATCAATTATTTCACAAAATGTAAGTGCCTTGATTGATATGTAAACTGAAAATGGTCTATAAAACCGAAATGGTTATTTCATGATATTGCAGCTCTTACTAGTGAGTATCAAAGTTCATACAAACCGTGTGTATAATATCAATCGTGCAATATTTAAAATTTTTTTAGAGTTTTGAAAACTCTAGTAGAAAGAGTCAAAGGAAGTTTATATAATATTTATTTTAAGAAACAAATTAAGGATATATTCCATCTATGGCAATTAGGTACCAACTCCAGTGGGTTGAATTGGGAAGGAGAAAAGAGTTTCATAATTGATTAGCAAGGTCTTCCAGAGACATCTTATGCAAAATGACCCCTGGAATGTCTGGTCTTTGCCGTTCCAGTCTTAGGGTTAGTTTATGTCCTAGATTACTATATTTTCAGCTAAATGGCTTTACTTATAGTCATATTATTGTACAACTGCAGGTATTCAGACTAATATTAGAAATTGAAATAATTTTTAACCATCAGATTAAATTTTATGCAGTGGTATGCAGAAATTACAAGAATGGTAAGAGGACAATTGCAATTGCGTTTAAAAGTATACTTTTAGAGTCAAATTTTGAGAGAGAATGGGTTTTCTGCTTTTCCCTGTTAAATTTAATTTACCGTATTATCTGTTCCCTTTTTATTCTTATTGAGATTGTCATTTTTGTACAGTTAGTTTTAATAGGTACATATCTTATGTTAGCTATATAATTATATCTTATATAACATATAATTTTAGCTTCTTATTAACTCTGAAAAGGGATGTGGAAAGATTATCTTTAACCTTTTTGATAAAGGGCTGGATAAAATCCAGTTACTTCTGTCAATGGTCTCCTGGGTGTTAAAGTATCAGAAGCGTATTTGTTTACTTTTATCTGAACTTTATTTTACAGATAGGTAATGAACTGAAAGAATATATACCTAGCAAAACCAAAATGTGAAGGATGTTTTCCCTGTGTAAATGCAGTGGAACATGAATTATTATTAAACAGAATTTTTATAAATCAGGTCATGTTAAATGTGTTCGGGGAGTTTGGCACTTAAGGGAGCCCTGTAAAATATTGTATAGCAAGGAATCCTTTAATTTATTTGTAAAATTATTTAATTTGGTCACATTTTGTTTAAATAATTGGCAAGAATATTAATAGTGTAAGCAGCACATCCAAAATGATGGGTAAGCTCTAAAACATTCTTAGCTGGTATTGGAATCTCTCAAAGCAGCTCCTAATCACTCCTAATTAGACATGTAATCATCAGTATTGAGCACCTACCAAATACTGGCACAGAAAGGCATACAGAAGAATGAACAGATAGTCCTTGAAACAAGTGAAAAGTGCCAAGAATATACAAAATAAGACAAGGTAAAACATTCTACAATTAAGCGCTAAAATTGTAAGAGTCAAGCAGTAAATGTTCTGGGTGTCTAAAGAGGGGAAATGGTGAGACCAGGAAAAGGTATGGCCTTTGTCCTTGAGACACAGGTGGGATTTGGGCAGAAGATAATGATGGGCTCTAAGTCACAAGGCAGAAATGTGAGTCAAGGCCTAAGGGCGTGAACGAACAAAGCTGGGCGCAAGAGTGAGAAGCAGACCTTAGGAGCAGAGCGTACACTCCTAAATGCCCAGCCTTGACCTGCTGCTGAGTGCCAGGCCTGCTCAGGCCAGTTACTTCCAGAAACCCATGTAAATGGGTTCTCTGTATAGCAGGTCACGTTAAATGTACTGGAGGCATTAGAAAGGGATGAAAATGTGCCCATGTTGGTGCTGCACACATATTTGTGTCAGAAAAGTGTTTGACTGAAATCTGCAGAAAACCCTGTTACCTTTATGCATGAGACATACTTACACTAGGAAATTAATTATGGTTTATCTGACATTCAAAATTAATAGGGTGTTCTGTCTTTTTATTTGCTAAATCTGGCCACTATAGGAGGGAGGTCAGCACAGAAAACAGACCTGTCCCTATCCCTACCCACAGAGCTTATTCTCCCTGGTTGTGAAACTACTGTCTTCAAAAGCAATAAGTACATGTGTTCAAATAAGCTGGAGGCCTCTTCAGATGAGAAGATTCTTCTTGGTCCTCCTTCCATGAGATTCACCACCCTCACCTATCCTTCAGGTGGGTGGGGGTAGAAAACACTGCTGTGCATTTGGACTTGCTATGAAGATTCCACATTTTAGGCTAGGGTTAGACTAGGATTAAAAATCTCACTAGACTATTTACTAGCTATGTGACCTTGCTTAGGTCTCTGTTTCCCCATCTGTAAAGTTGCCATAAAATAATGTACTGTCTATTATTGTGAGTTGACTTGGCTTGCTGCTTAGCATGTAAATAATCAATGTCATTATATAATGATACTTTCTTAAAATGTACCATATTAGTTGCCTACATACTACTTATCATCTATTAGAGTTGATTATGTGTTCTCTGCTCTGGCTTTTTTGTTAAAAAAGAAAAAATTATTGAAAATCAACTCTATTAGAGTTGATTATGTGTTCTCTGCTCTGGCTTTTTTGTTAAAAAAGAAAAAATTATTGAAAAATATCTGTAGTGGAGAATCCTTGTCACAGAATACTATCAGCCTGTCTTCTGCTGTTGTTTTTAGGTGTTTACTCGAGAATGCATGAGCCACTATCTAAGAGTGTTTAACTTCCTTTGGCGGGCTAAGCGAATGGAATATATCCTCACTGACATACGGAAGGGGCATATGTGTAACGCGAAGCTCCTGAGAAATATGCCAGGTAAACCTATCAGAAGGTAGTAAGATGAACTGTGTGTGTCCCACCTGGTGCATGCATACCAGCAACTTCACCCGCTGTGTTGTGTCCAGCAGTTTAGCAAAAATAAAAGTTTTCTTAAAAGTAATTGAACTGAAAAGGGATTCATTATTGTGTTTTTGGCTTAGGCTTTTGTGATAAGATTCATTTGTAATATTGCTCATCTTGACTTCAGTGCAAATAGGAAAACAACAGCATTGAGTCAAGTTAGATTTTTTTAGACCATGAAATTTATTTTAGAATCCCATTTGTTTTTCACTGTAGTATTCATATGTGTACTTTGATTTAAAAATAATTACTTTTAAGGAAAGAAAGTTGTTTTTTTTTTAAAAAAAAAAGTTTAATAAATTACTGGCTCTTTTAACACTCAGTGTTTTAATTAAGTCTATTTGTGTATTATCTTAATGTTTTGTTTTGGTTCATAAACCAGAAGATGGGCATAGTTTATAATCTTATTTTGCAATTAAAAGCTATAGTAAAAATTCTCATCTCAGTCAAAGTTTATTTTAATGTTATAAATATTGAATGATTTCAATTATGAATAATTTTGAAATCTTTATATTGAATTTGATCAAAGCAGTTGAGAATATTTCAACAAGTATATCTTTAAAGAAGAACTAAACTGTTATATTCTTAATCTTTCAGTTGGTGAAAGTAATTATTTAAAAAGAAGCATTTGTTTGAAGGAAGGCAGATGTGACCTCTACTTGCTTCCTAGGTGAAGGCTGGTCCTTGAGCAGCTCCAAAGCTTCAGGATAATGGCACCCCAGAAGCCTGGGGTCTAGAGGGCACCTGTCCATGTGCTGACATATGGAATTGACAGTTTTTACTGAGTGTTTGTTTTTTCTCTGTTCCTAGCAGGTCTTTTTCAATGAATCATGATACTCATGCTCTTGGCCTAGCTTCCTCTGGACTCACTTTATAGAAAATTAATCATAGGGATCCTCTGAAATAGCTGAGAAGGAAGTGAGGGGAACATTTTCTTTTAAATGCTGTAATGGTTGTGCACAGTAAATACTGCCTTCAGCAGCCACTTTCTAGTAAATGTGGAGTACTGGCACGTGGGTGCTTCTTGAAAGGAGGCAGGAGGAGTAATCAGTTGAGAGAAACTTGCACTGTCTCCCAGCTCTGCATCTCAGGAGCCTCCCTCATGGTGTGTCACAGGATTACTCATGTATTCCCTGTGTAACGCAGTTACTCAGTTTACCTATAGTGCTTCTTCTCTGCGTTCTTTTTAATTTAAAATTTTTTTTTTTATTTTAAATAAATCTTTACTGTTCAGGTTATTACAAATTTTCCTCTCCCCCCCCCCCCCCATTGCTCCCCTCCACGAGGTTCCCACCCTACCCTCTGCCCTTTCCCAACCCCCCATTGTCCTTATCCATAGGTGCATAGTTTTTGTTCAGTCTTTTCCTGCACCCCCCACTCCCCTTTTCCCTGAGAATCGTCAGTCCACTCCCCTTCTATACCTCTGATTCTATTATATTCACCAGTTAATATTGTTCATCAGGTTTTTTAATTCCTTTGGCTTTTAGTTTCAGTTGTTGATAATTACATATTTGCTGATCATAATTTTTATCTTTATCTTCTTCCTCTTCCTAAAGAACCCCCTTCAGCAATTCATATAATTCTGGTTTGGCGGTGATGAACTCCTTTAGCTTTTTTTTATTTGTGAAGCTCTTTATCTGGCCTTCGATTCTGAGTGATAGCTTTGCTGGGTAGAGTATTTTTGGCTGTAGGTTCTTGCTATTCATCACTTTGAGTATTTCTTGCCATTCCTGTCTGGCCTGCATGGTTTCTGTTGAGAAATCAGCTGAGAATCGTATGGGTGCTCCTTTATAGGTAACTACCTGCTTTTCTCTTGCTGCTTTTAATATTCTCTCTTTGTCTTTTGCTCTTGGAATTTTAATTATGATGTGTCTTGGTGTGGTATTCTTTGGATTCCTTTTGTTTGGGGTTCTGTGTGCTTCCTGGACTTGGAAGTCTATTTCTTTCCTCAGGTGGGGGAATTTTTCTGTCACTATTTCTTCCAGAATTCTTTCGGTATCTTGCTCTCTGTCATCTTCTGGGACCCCTATAATTCTGATGTTGGTTCGTTTGAAATTGTCCCAGAGGTTTCTTACACTATCTTCACCTTTCTGGATTCTCTTATCTTCTTGCTTCTGTGGAGGAGTGTCCTCTGGTTCTTTGTGTTCCAAATCTTTGACTTGATTCTTGCTATCTTCCATTCTGTTTTTAGGAATCTGTATAATATTTTTTTATTTCAGACAGTGTATTCTTTATTTCTAGTTGATCCCTTTTCATATCCTCATAGGTCTCGTTTATTTTATTGGCCTTTTCTAGGAAATTCTTGAAAAACCTTATAAGCGTGATTTTGAATTCTATATCCAGTCGCTTCTTTTCCTCCATTTCTTTTGTTTGTGATCTGTTTCCTTGTCTCGGCATTTTCACAGCTTTTCTGAGTTGGTAGGGTGGCTTTGTGTGCTAAGGTGTCCTATATGGTTCAGTTGGTCAGCCTCCCAGTTATCTGAGATGGACAGTTTTGGTGTAGCCCTTTGTGGGCTGTGTGTGCAGTCTTGTTGTTAAGCCTTGCTTGTTGTTGGTGTCACTGGGAAGCGTTGATCTCCAAGCCAATTGGCTATGAGGATCAGAAGTGTCTCAGCTAAGAGGGTTTCTGTATTCTGCTTGGATGGGGCAGAGTCTCGGGATGGCACAGAGAAGCCTGATGAATCCTGCAAAATTGGTTGCAGGTGCTTGCACCTCTTTGGTATAGGCGCAGACAAGCTTTGCAATCCTGTCTGTCCCTCACTAGGAGAGTTCTATTCGCTGCGAACGAGAAAGCTAGCCACTGGAAGGGTTTCTGTGCTCCGTTTGGATGGGGCGGAGTCTCAGGTGGTGCAGACAATCTTTAGTCAGCCCCTCCCTACAAGGGTCTGGTTTCTGAGTCCTGCAGTAATGGCCCCTGGCTTCACACACCACTGAGAGATCTCTGCCCACTGCCTGACAGTCTGGCCTCTCCCTGTCTGGGGCCATCTATCAGAGCAAGAGGGTGGTTCTGTTTTCCTCCTGAACAAGAAAGCTAGCCACGCATTAGCTGTCCTCCCTCTCCGCACGCTCATCTAAGTAAGCCAGTAGCGAACTCGGCCCGCCCTCTCCGCGCTCTGCAAACAAGCCAGCAGCGAAGTCTAGCAGCCGCCTTTTCGCACGCACAGTTCTCCGCACTTTCACAGTTCCTGAGGTTCAGCGTGCCTTCTCTCTCCTTCCCAGATGGTAGAGCCTCCTCTCAGCCAGCCGTCCGGCATTTCAGGGCGATATTTCCCCTGTTTTCCAGTTCTAAATTCAAATTTGTTGTAGTAGGCTGCATTCAGGTGTCTACCCTATGCCGCCATCTTGGTTTCTCCTCTGCGTTCTTTTTAATACTGTTGAGTAGAGTGGTTCTTAGCTGTCACTTCTCTGTACCAGCATCTTTCTTGATTTAGATCAATCCCATGTGAAGCAAATACTTTGTCATTGCATCACTCTTATCATTCAAAATAAGCATTATGTTTAGCCCTGGGAAATCTAAACTCCTGTAACAATTTTGAATATTAACTAATTCTGATACATTTTTCTGATTTGAATTATCAGCTTAGCAACCTCTATATAAATTTGCTTTTCTCTTGTATTGAGTAATCAGCTATGAGTTTTGTTTTCTTTCAAAGATAGCTAATACATTTGATCAATTTTCTATGTATGGGAAAAATATATTTTATCTTTTATAAAATTAATAACTTTAATTTTATTTGATCCTATTACATAGAGTTTAGTTTCAGCTTCTTTTACTAATCTTTTTTTCTTAATAAAACTTCTAGCCTGGCCAGGGTGACTCACTTTGGTTGAGCATTGTCCTGTGCACCAAAAGGTTGCTGGTTCAATTCCTGGTTAGGGCACACACCTGGGTTGCAGGTTTGATTTCCAGTCAGGGAGTGTATGGAAGGCAACAGATCCATGTTTCTCTCATATGTGATATTTCTCTCCCTCTTCCCCATCCCCCACCTTAACTCCCCCTCCTATCTAAAAATCAGTAAAAACATATACTTAGGTGAAGATTAAGAAAAAAAGAACTTCTAAAATGTTTTTAATAGTATAATATTTTCTTTTTGGTTGAATGTATAGTCCTTTTATTTAAACCTTTTTCCTACTAATATAAATAATGTCATTAGCTTTTTCTTTTTTTGTTGTTATAAGTATATATAAGCCTCTGAATATTTCTTTAGAATAAATAAATTGGAAATGGAATTGTGGGATTAACAATATGAATTTTAGTTTCATTTTATATCTGTTAATACTTAGTGTTTCTATTTTAACTTTATTGGTATGTATTGTCTGTTTGCATTCAGGAAAGTGATAACAATTTAATTTATTTTCCCATAAGCCCAGCTCTCCCTGCTTGAAAGTTGTCTGCAAAGCTATTTTTGTGGCTAACATTGGATTATTATATTCAAACAAATTATCACTTTGACAGGTGAAAATGGAAGTTCATTTTAGTTTTTAAAATGCCTTTAAAATTATTGATCAGTGTAAACACTTCTCTTTCTCCTCCTCTACCCTTCTCATTCCCCTTCTCCTCTTTCTCTATTATCATTTGTGTTTCTTGAGGAAAATTGTGTGGTTTTTGTTCCTGTTTCTTTTGGGGTATAATGTTCTTACCTTTAGTTTATAACGAAGTGTTTTAAAGTTGTTAGGGGCCAGGCAAGTTAATGCACAGAAATCAGCCAGGTAGTTAGGCTTGTTAATGCAGCAAATTTAGGAATATCCTACTTACCGTAAATCTGAGGCAAAAATATAAAAAGATTCTATAAAGTGCTTCTGTAAACATCCTTTGGAATTCCACATGTTTGCACAGAGTGTGTATGTGGTTTGATCATATGTACAGTATCAGTAATCATCACCCTAGGAATCATTTTAATAATGTTCATCAACAT